AAAGACGTGTTAAGGCACAACACACCCAAGAATAATCCCAGAGGGGACTTGTGGGATCCCCCCAGAAGCAAAGACTTTATCACTGTGAGGATGTGACATGTGCCCATCAGGCAGGACAGGTTTACAGGACCCCCAGGGTGGCCTCTGCCCTGGGGCCTTCCCACCCCAGGCTTGCCAGGCCAGTCCAGATGGTTCGGTTCAGGGCCTGTTTTCAGAGGGAATGCCCGAAGCAGGCAGTTCCAAACATTTTGCTTTTCCGTGATTGCCAGTTTGTCCACCTCATGAGCTCGGACGGCAGGGGGACGAATTCAGGGCCGGGGTCACCTCCTGCTGTTGCCTCATCAGCTCGGTCATGTGACTGGTTGGAGGGCTAGCCAGCAACGCTTTGGCTTCCCAGGGAAGTTCTGAAAGATGCAGACCACCAATGTCTCTCCCCCAACTCTGGTACCTCCCCAGGGGCCAAGGTTGTGTTTCTCCTTTTTTGTTAACATCAGTGTGGCTCATTCAGTTGTCATCACTTTACATTTTTTTCCCAAACTTTTTTTTTATTATTGAGGTAAAATTCACATAATATATTGTACTCCACGTTAGTCATTTAAAAATGTACAATTCAGGGGCACCTGGGTGGCTCAGTCAGTTAAGCAATCTGCCTTTGGCTCAAGTCATGATCCCGGGGTCCTAGGATCGAGCCCCACATCGGGCTCCCTGCTCAGTGGAGAGTCTGCTTGTCCCTCTCCCTCTGCCCTGCTCCTTCTCTCTCCCTCTCTCTCAGTCTCTCTCTCTCTCAAATAAATAAAATCTTTAAAAATGTACAATTCAATGGCTTTTAGTACATTCACAGTGTTGTACAACCATCTTCACCATATAGTTCCAGAACATTTCATCCCTCCATAAAGAAACTACCAATAAGCGTGACTCTCCCTTCCTCCTCTCCTCATCCCCTGACAACCACTAGTCTATTTTCTGTCCCTACGGATTTGCCTATTCTGGGCATTTCACAGAAATGGAATCATATCATATGTTGCTTTCTTTCGTTGAACATAAGGTTTTCAAGGTGCCTTCATGTTGTAGTGTGGCTCCATATCTCATTCCTCCCTACCTCCAATCCTTTTTCTGGCTGAATAATATTCCATTGTATGGATATATTTCATTTTGTTTATCCATTCATCGGTTGATACATTTGGGTTACTTCCACTTCTTAGCTATTATGAACAATGCTGCTCTGAACATTCACGTACACGTTTTTGTGTGAACATGTTTTCAAGGCTCCTTAGGTATATGTGTAGGAATGAAATTGCCAGGTCATATGGTAATTAACTTTTTTTTTTTTTTAAGATTTTATATACTTATTTGACAGAGAGAGACACAGTGAGAGAGGGAACACAAGCAGGGTGAGTGGAGAGGAGAAGGAGAGGCAGGCTTCCCGCAGGGCAGGGAGCCCGATGTGGGGCTCGATCCCAGGACCCTGGGCTCATGACCCGAGCCGAAGGCAGACGCTTAACGACTGAGCCACCCAGGCGCCCCTACGTTTAACTTTTTGAAGACCTGTCAGACTGCCTTCCCACGCAGCTGTACCATTTCACATTCCCACAGACCTGCAGCGTCTGAGGTTCCAATTTTTCACATCACCACCAACATTTGTTATTTTCCACGCTTTTGCTCATAGTCATCTTAGTGGGTGTAAAGTGGTGTCTCACTGTGGTTTTGATTTGCATTTCCATAATGACTAATGTTGTTGAACATATTTCCGTGTATTTATCAACCACTTGTATATCTTCTTTGCAGAAAGGAGTATCTATTCGTGTTCTTTGCCCATTTAAAAACTGGGCTATTTTTTCATGGTTGAGTGTGAGAGTTCTTTCTATATTCTGGATACTAGGCTTTTTATCAGATAATGATTTGCAAATATTCTTTTCCATTCTGTAAGTTGTCTTTTCACTCTCTTGATGGTGTCCTTTGACACACATCAGTTTTTAACTTGTAGGAAGTCCAATTTATCTATCTTTGTTTCTGTGGCTTGTGCTTTTGGTGCCATATCTAAGAATCAATTGCCAAATCCAAGGTCATGAAGATTGACTCCTACATTTTCTAAGAACTTTATAGTTTTGGCTCTTAGATTTAAGTCTTTGATCCACTGTGAGTTGATTTTTGTATATGGTGTGAGGTAAGGATTCGATTTCATTCTTTTACATGGTTATCCAGTTGTCTCACACCATTTCTTGAAAAAGCAATTCTCTTCCCATTGGATGGTATTGATACCTTTGCAGGAAATCAATTGGCTGTAGATGAGATTTTTTCTGGACTCTCAATTTTATTCCATTGATCTATATGTCTATCCTTATGTCAGTACCACACTGTTTTGATTACTGTAGTTTTGTACCAAGTCTTGAAACTCAAAAGTGTGAATCTGTAATTTTATTCTTTTTTAAGATTGCTTAAAATTGCAATTGGGGCCCCTTGCAATTCCATATGAATTTTAGGATAAGCTTGTCCATTTCTACAAAAAAGGTAGTTGGAATTTTGATAGGGATTATATTGAATCTGTAGATCAATTTGGAGAGTATTGTCATCTTGACAATGTTAAGTCTTCCAATAAATGAACCCGGAGTATCTTTCCATTTATTTATGTCTTCTTTAATTTCTTTCAGCAATGTTTGGTAGTTTTCAGTGAACAAGTCTTTCACTTCCTTGGTTAAATTTATTCCTATGTATTTTATTCATTTTGATGCTAAGGTAAATGGAATTGTTTTCTTAATTTCATTTTCAGATGATCATTGGTAGCGTATAAAAATTCAAGTGAAATTTGTATATTGATCTTGTATCCTGCAACTTTCCTGAATTCAGTTATTAAGTTATTAGCTGTAACAGTTTGTGTGCATATGTGTGTGTGTGTGTACTTAAGAATTCCAAATTTATTTTAAAATTCTCATTCAAACTTTTCATCCAGAAGGGTTGGATGCAATAAGGGACAAAAGCATTTTCACAGAAAAACATTCTTATGGCATCTGTTTGGGTTTGCATCTTGGTTGTAGCATTTTAATTTTTGGCCTGACTGGATTTTAGTTCTTTTATCTCTGCAGTAAGGGATTCTCTAGTGTCTTCTATGCTTTTTTCAAGAGAAAAACATTTTTATAAAAGTTAATGAGAAAGACACACCATGGGGCACCAGTCGGTTAGGCGGCTGCCTTCGGCTCAGGCCATGATCCCCGGGTCCTGGGATGGAGCCCTGCATCAGGCTCCTTGCTCAGCAGGGAGCCTGCTTCTCCTTCTCCCTCTGCCTCCCTCTTCCTGCGGCTCCCTTTGCTTGTGCTCTCTTTCTCTTTCTGTCAAATAAATAAATAAAATCTTTTAAAAAAGAGAGAGAGAGAGAGAAAGACACACCATAGCCAGGAATTGGTCAGAACAAAAACCTGAATATTCAACAATTTTCAGAATCATTTAATACAACCCCTACCCCTTTTGTCCTGATCATTTATCCAGTGAGCAGCCTGAAGAAGATCAGCCTCATCTCAGGACAGCTGCATTTAGTAATCAAGCTGCCTTCCCGAGGTGCACATATCAGGGGAAAGAGGAGGGAAGTAGAGTCAGACTGAGTACATCATTGCAAACTGCCACTAATCGGGAAAGCAGAACACAAGCCAACAGCAGTGCGACACCCCTCCACAGGGGTCCAGAGTCCAATGTGATGTGCCCAGGGGGGGTCACAGTCCCTGTGATGGGCTCTCCCCCAGCTTGCAGCTCTTGGCGGGAATCACAAGATAGAACTGCATTAGAAGTTAGGATCCACACCAGAAATAGAGAGCTGAGCAGTAGCTTGATTTTTGACAGTTCCTTCCAAAAAGAAGCCTTTTCCTGTGGGCATTCTTATGTGACCCAGGTGGTCCAGCCGGGGTCCATGATGTTTGCACAGTTCAGGCTGTTTTCCACCTGCCAACGTCCCAGAGTGAAGCCCTGTTCACTGAGTGGATGCCTCCTTTCCACTGAGCACAGTTCATGCTGAGAAAGAAACAGTCCCCAGCAGACAGTATCAGGTTCGGGCTTAGAGTCAGGTCCAGGCAATTAAGATCTGTGAGTGCAGGAATCCAGAAAAGCCAGAAGCTTTTCTTTGGCAGCAGCAAAGCTCTGTGGAAGAACTGGAAGATCTTGTTCTAAGTCCCAATGAGGAGAACAGCTTTCCTAAGCCCTTTTTACCTTGTCAATCTTAGAGCTCAAATTGACCTACTCGAAAGTATACACTCCTTCAAGAGAGTGGGAGGACAAGCCACAGACTGGGGGGACAAATATTTGGAAAAGACATATCTGATAAACAACTGCTATCCAAAATATATGAAGAACTCTTCAAACTCAATGAGAAAATGAACAATCTGATTCAAAAATGAACAAAAGACCCGAGCAGACATCTCACCAAAGAAGATAACACAGATGGCAAATAAGCATCTAAGATGCATGACATCATATGTCATTGGGGAAATGCAAATTAAAACAACAATGGGCTACTACTACACAACTATTTTTTTTTTTTCAGTGCAAAAAAAGGTGGTTTGGGGCGCCTGGGTGGCTCAGTCGTTAAGTGTCTGCCTTTGGTTCAGGTCATGGTCCCAGGATCCTGGGATCGAGCCCCGCGTCGGGCTCCCTGCTCCATGGGAAGCCTGCTTCTCCCTCTCCCACTCCCCCTACTTCTGTTCCTGCTCTCGCTATCTCTCTCTGTCAAATAAATAAATAAAATCTTAAAAAAAAAAAAAGGTGGTTTTATTAAACTGTGGGGATAGGACCGGTGGGCAGAAAGAGCTTCCAACTACACACCTATTAGAATGGCCCAAATTGGGGCACCTGGGTGGCTCAGTCGGTTAAGCGTCTGCTGTTGGCTCAGGTCATGATCTCAGGGTCCTGGGATCGAGCCCTGCGTTGGGCTCCCTGCTCAGCGGGGAGCCTGCTTCTCCCTCTCCTTCTGCCTGTCACTTCCCCTGCTTGTGCACTCTCTCTCTGTCAAATAAAAAGAAAAAAGAAAAAAGATTGGCCCAAATCCAGAACACTGACAACGCCATGTGCTGATGAGGGTGAGGAGCAACAGGAACTCACTCCCATTCATTGTTGGTGGGAATGAACAATGGGGTCCAGCCACTTTGGAAGATAGTTTCTTACCAAATTAAACATACTCTTACCATATGATCCAGTAATCAAGCCTCTTGGCATTTACCCCAAAGAGTTGAAAACTTATGTCCACATGCAAAAACCTGCACACAGATGTTTAAAGCAGCTTTATTCATAATCGCCCAAACTTGGAAGCAATCAAGATGTCCTTCAGTAGCTGAATGGATAAGTAAACTGTGGTCCATCCAGACGATGGACTATTATGCAGGGCTAAAAACAAATGAGCTATCAAGCCATATAAAGACATGGAAGAACCTTAAGTGTATATTACTAAGTGAAAGAAACCAATCTGAAAAAAAGCTACATACCGTATGATTCCAGCTATGACATTCTGGAAGGCAAAACTATGGGGACAGTAAAAGAATCAGCGGTTGCCAGAGGTCGGGGAGGAGGGGGGAGGGGACGAACAGGCAGAACAGGGTTTTTAGGGCAGTGAAACTATTCCATGTGATACTATAATGGTGGATACATGTCATCATACATTTGTCCTAACCCATACCATGTATGACATCAAGAGTGAGCCCTAATGTGAACAATGGACTCTGGGTCATAAATAACATGTTGATGTACGCTCAGGGATTGTGACAAATGTCCCTCTCTGGTGGGGACTGTTGGTAGTGGGGAAGGCTTCCATGTGGGGAGAGGAATATACTGGATCTGCACTTCCTGCTCAATTTCACCATGAACCTCAAACTGCTCTTTAAAAAAAGATCTATTTAAAAAAACTAACAATCAAACTGAAGGTAAAATAAAACTCCAAAGGGGCATTTGCCTGTAGATCGAAAGTGGCCTCTCTGCATCTTGCCTCCTTTTCTCTAAAGGCTCCAACAGGCCAAAATTATAGCAAAAATCATTATTTACAGAGCCTTGTGCTTATTTCCAATACCGCATTGGCTGCAAAAAGAAGAGTGTCCCACGCACGCACCTACACACACACACACACACCCCTTGTTTTTGCAGTAGCTCTCCCTGATCTGGATGATCTCTCTAGCGTGTATTACAAGCATACATTTTATTGTTTCGTATTCTTTCACAAGATGGTGTGTTGGGTGCAGGCACAAGGGGAGATGGAGGAGAGGCTCGGGAAACTGGTTTATTACACTCGGGTCCGGGAGACAGGAGGGGTGCCGTGCAGGGCCCCATGGGAAAGACAGCATGGCCAGGAGGCAGGAGGCAGGAGGCAGGACGTAGGGGAAGGTTTAAGCCACGGCCTTTATTGGGGTTCCTCTGGAATGGCAGGGCAGGGTGAACCATTTAGGACTGGTCAGTGTGCGTGATTTCAGTAGGGGTGGTCCCTAGTTGCCTGGGCCTTGGGTGATGAGGCTGAGGAACAGTGCCAGGAGCCGGTTGGAGGAAGTCTGGCTCTGGATTGGTTCGTTTGTGTATCAAAGGCATTCTCAGGCTGGGTTCTTTGCTGTCTCTAAGAATTGGCTAGAAGGCACAATGTCTCCCTAGCCAAAAAGGTCTTTTTTTTTTTTTTTAAAGATTTATTTATTTGAGAATGAGAGAGATCATGAGCAGTGGGGAAGGGTAGAGGGAGAAGCAGGCTCCCCACTGAGCAGGGAGCCCGACGTGGGGCTCTATCCCAGGACGCTGGGATGAGGACCTGAGCCAAAGGCAGAGGCCTAACCGACCAAGTCACCCAGGCGCCCCAAAAAGGCCTTTTAAGCTCTCAAAATGTCATATAGAAAACAAACCAACGTGTGTGTGTGTGTGTCTGTGTGTGTGTGTGTCTGTGTGTATAATCTCAGGACTACCCCATGCTCAGATATTTGCCAGGACTCATGAAACTCAGTACATAGTTGTACTCACAGGGGTGCGGTTGTAGGCACAGCTGGATCATAAGGGAAAAAGATACAGACACTGGAGGGTTATGGGCAGGTTCCTTGGGTCCTCTCCCTCCCCTGAGGGGTCATGCAGAGTGTACTCTTGACCCAGCAACAAAAATGTAGCAGCAGGTGTGTGATGCCCAGGGAAGCTCATCAGAGACTCAGCACCCCAGGGTTTCACTGGGGGGTTAGTCCTACAGACACCTTCTTTCTGCCTGGCTTGTACCAAAATCCCAGACCCCCAGAATGACAGCAAGTGTTCAGCATAAACCATACTGTTTGCACAAATAGTCTAAGCGCCAAGAGCCACCCTTATCAGTTAGGTAATGGTGGGAACACTTCCAAAATTCAAGTTCCCAGATGCCAGCTAAGGACCAACTTTGCAAACAGGCCTTTTTTTTTTTTTTTTAAGATTTTAGTTATTTATTTGACATGGAGAGAGAGAGAGCACAAGCAGGGGGAGTGGCAGGCAGAGGGAGAAGCAGGCTCCCCACTGAGCAGAGAGCCCAACGTGGGGCTCGATCCCAGACCCTAGGATCATGACCTGAGCCGAAGGCAGATGTCCAACTGATTGAGCCAACCAGGCATCCCAGCAAAAAGGTCTTCCTTCCTTCCTTCCCTTCTTTCCTTCCTTCTTCTTTCTTTCTTGTCTTTCTTCCTTCCTTCCTTTCAAGAGAGAGAGGTGGGAAGAGGGGAGGGGAAGAGAGAGAATCTTAAGCAGGCTCCATGCCCAGCACGGTGCTTGATCTCATGACCCTGGGATCATGACCTGAGCCAAAATCAAGAGTCAGATGCTTAACCGACTGAGCCACCCGGTCGCCCTGCCAACAGGTCTTTCTAAGGCAAGGCCAGCTAGCTTAGACCTTTGGGGCAGTTATTGAATTGACGTGACCATCACGATTTGGATGGTTGTACTGTGGTTATGCAGGAGAATGTCCTTGATGTAGAAAATACACACAAAAGAATTTTGCAGTGATGCTGGAAATGTACTATATGTTTCAAGGGGAAAAGGCTTTGTGCCATACCTATAACTTCTCTGTTATGTTTAAGATTGTTTCAAAATAAAAAAGTATTGGGCGCCTGGGTGGCTCAGTTGGTTAAGCGACTGCCTTCGGCTCGGGTCATGATCCCGGAGTCCCTGGATCGAGTCCCGCATCAGGCTCCCTGCTCGGTGGGGGGTCTGCTTCTCCCTCTGACCCTCCCCCCTCTCATGTGCTCTCTCTCATACAAATAAATAAAATCTTTAAAAAAAAAGTATAAAAAAAACGATATGGAAGAGGGGAGAATCGATGGGGATGTGGGCTGAAGACTGGCCATAATCTGATAAAACTGGTGCGGGGGAGTCGATACATGGTTAGAATACTCTTCTCTCTGCTTCTGTATATATTTCAAATTCTCCATAACAAAATAAAACGAACAAAAATCCTGTCAGCAAAGATGCCTTTGAAATGTGGTTCCTCCTGGAAGGGGAGGGAGGTTGCATTGGAGGATACTATGTATTCGTCTTCCTGTGTCACTTCTATACACCAATACACGCTCAGAAAATGAGAAATACAGATAAGCAAAAGAAATACAAAATCACCACGGCCAGAGATCACCATTGCACTAACCCTGTAACACTGTAGTTAATATTCTTTTTTTATTTTAATAAGCTCCACGCCCAACATGGGGCTTGAACTCACGACCCTGAGATCAAGAGTCACATGCTCTACGGACTGAGCCAGCCAGGTGCCCCTATAGGTAATATTCTTATTCTTCTGAATATATATATATACATATCTACACACACACACATACACCCAGAAGGAATCCAGGATATAAATAATTGTATGCACACATATGTGTATAAAGTGGTATCATTAACTTTGGCATACACACACACACACACACACACACATATACAACACGTGCCAAAATTAAATTATATGGCTGCTTTTTTTTTTAAGGCAGTGGTCTCCATCTTTCCCTTCCTAGATGTTTCCCATATTCCTCATATCCGAATTCCCCCAGTTGACTCAAAAATACCATCTAGAGCTGAACTGTCCAAACCAATATCTACTCAAGGCCCACACACTCCATCTGGTCATGACTCTTATGTCTGTTTCAACCTGTCACAACCCCTTCTTGAAGAAACTGGCAAAACATGCCAACCTCTGGGTGTGTTTGGCTCCTTCTCTGCTGGTGTTTCCCTTCTATGGCAAGAAAGGGGCGGAAGGCCTGACCCCTCCAATGAGCAGTTCATCCTGGGATACAGCAAAGGCAATGACACATTTCAGGTGCATCACATCAGAAGACCTAGAACATCTAGGGGCAACTGGTTGGTTCCATCAGTACAGTGTGCGACTCTTGATCTCAGGGTTGTGAGTTAGGCCCCACACTGGGTGTAAAGATTACTTAAAAATAAAATCTTAGGGGCGCCTGGGTGGCTCAGTCGGTTAGGCGACTGCCTTCAGCTCAGGTCATGATCCTGGGGTCCTGGGATCGAGCCCCGCATCGGGCTCCCTGCTCCGTGGGAAGCCTGCTTCTCCCTCTCCCACTCCCCCTGCTTGTGTTCCCTCTCATGCTGTCTCTCTCTCTCTCTCCCTGTCAATTAAATAAATAAATAAAATCTTTAAAAAAATAAAATAAAATAAAATCTTAAAAAAAAAAAAAGATGACCTAGAACATTTCACTGACCCACCAGCCGTGAGTTAGCCATGACCCTGGACTGGCATGAGGACAGCCTGATCCTGGCTCCCATCTAGAAAGTCACAAGTGTGGTGTCACCCTGATGCTGTACCCAGACCCACTGTCCCTTCTATTGGGAGTTTTCTTCTGTAGTTTCCGCTCCCCCACTGGGACAGTTTGTTGCTTTCAAACCAAGTAGTAACCAAGACAGTAAAGTTATATTTCCTACTTCAGAGATCTGAGGCACTTTTGGCAAAATAATAAATTTATTACATATGATCGGCAGATAGTTGTTGCTGATATATTATTCTCTCGATGTTTGCGCAAAATTTCAAAATAAAAAATAATTTTATACACCATACAATCACTGGGGTCCTTGAGGGTCTCCACACATTTTTTGAGCTGGCTGACTTTCAGCTGTGAGACCTGGTTCCCAGCCTTGAAGTTGCAGGGGGTTAAGTTTGCCACCCAAGGTGGCTGGAATTTTCCCAGCTATAAGGACGAGGTTCTACTTCAGAGATGAGCGGCCTTCTCTAAAGGGACCGATAAAGCCCCCTGAAAGCAGAAAGGAGAGGAGACAGGCCAGATGGGACTGGGGCTGAATCAGAGGGCCTCCGGAGGGAGGACTGCCCTATAACAGCAGTAGGTAACTTTGAAGTAAGAACTTTCTTCTAGTAGTTTCTAGAACCTGAAGAGGGGACCTGGCAGAACCCTCGAAGGGATCCTGGAGTACCCAGGATGCCAGGGAGGTATGTGCCCTTGGTTAATAAGAAGTCCTGGCCAGTGGTCCCCAGTCCTAGAAGGCACCGGTCAGGTTGTTGGGCAAGGACAGCCCTTGACTAAGACAACCGGGCCCGCACGACCACGCTGGAATTGGTCACACGGGCTCCATAGTGACCAGCCCAGAACTGCGTGTCCTGGCCCCAGTGTTCGAAAGACACAAAGCGGACGCCCATCTTGATGTTGGAGAACACGTGGGTGACCTGTAGGTAGAGAAGAGATCAGGCAGGTTGCACCCCAGCCTTCTTCTCGAAAGCTGAGCCTGGGGCCTTCAGGCTCAGCGGAATCGCATGGTTCCTCATCCTAATTCCTGTCTCCTTGAGTCTGGGTGGGTGGGTTTTGTTCGTAACCAGAAGCATGGCGGAAGTAATGAGTGACTTCCGCCAAGTGACTTCCAAAGCTAAGTCAGAAAAGGCAATGTAGCTTCTTTTGGTTTCTCTAGAACCTTCCTGGTGGAATCCTGAGCCACTAGTAAGTTGAGTCTGGCTGCCCTGAGGTGGCCATGATTTGAGGAAGTTCAAACCAGCCCTCGCAGAGAGATGCCACACTGAAGCTCTGGGACTAAATGAAGCCACCAGCTGCTATATGCACAGGTACACAAATGTACACACGCACACACACACACACACACCCCACCCAGCTCTTCAGCTCCAGCCATTGTCTGAAAGCAACCGCCCAAGAGACAGGAACCAGAAGCATCCCCAGCAGAGCCCTCCTTATAGAAACCACAAGAGGTAATAGATAATGTTCCCAGGCCCCCACCACCCCTCTCCCCGTGTCCCTGCCAGAGACTCACCTGAAAGCAGACATTGTTGTTCCACTGTTGGATGGGAACGGGCATAGCAGAGAATTTATCCAGGACAGTCTGGTTGGCATCTAGAAGTTGGACAAGGAGTCGGTACATACAGCCACTGTCGTGTCGGGCTCCCCACCTGTGGGAGGAGGGAGGCCTTGAAGGCTGGACATGCCCACCTCATCTCTTTGGGTGTCTGCCTGCCTCCCCCCAGAATGGCCTCCCCATGTCTGCAAATCCAAAACATAGTCCTCGGCTCCGCACGCCCTGTGTCACCTGGGAGCTTGGCCCCACTGCAGACCCAGTGACTCAGAACCTGTACTAAACGAGGTCCCCAGCTGGTGCGCAAGGACATGCATTCTCGAAGCAGTGACTCAGAGCAGCCACCCTTCAAGGCACCTCCTCCAGTATTATTCAGGTGACAATGGAAATTGCTCAATGTTTAAATGGTGGCAAAAGATGTAATTTCCAATGGGTACATTGACATTTTAAAATACAACTTTCATATCAGTCATTGAAAAGGATCACGGGAGGAGCACCTGGCTGCCTCAGTCGGTGGAGCATTCGAGTCCCACATGGGTAGAGAGATTACTTAAAAATAAAATCTTTAAAAAATAAAAAAAATAAAAGGACCACGGGAATCTGTATTTAGTCACGATGGGATACCCAGCAATATTAAAAACAAAACAAAACACAACAACATCCAATGTCCATCGATGGTAAATGGATAAATTATGGTATATGCACATAATAGAATGGTATACAGCAATGAAAGCAAACTCACTGCGGTTACACACAATTAGGAATCAATTTACGAACATGCAGTTGAAAGAAGCTAGAAACAAAACATATACTGTGGGACTCTCTCTCTCAAGTACAAAAATGGACAGAACTTGGGGCGCCTGGGTGGCTCAGTTGGTTCAGCATCTGCCTTCAGCCCAGATCATGATCCCAGGGTCCTGGGATCGAGCCCCACATCGGGCTCCTTGTTCAGTGGGGAGCCTGCTTCTCCCTCTCCCTCTGCCTCTCCCCCTGCTTGTGTTCTCTCTCCCTGTCAAATAAATAAATCTTAAAAAAAAAAAAATGGACAGAACTTATCTATGGTAACAGAATTCAGGATGGCGGCTACCCTGGATGGGTAATGATGGGAAAGGAGCTGGTAACATGGATGTGTTCACTCTGTGATAATTCAGAATCACATACCTAAAATATGTACATTTTAAATAAATAAATAAATAAAATATGTAAACTTAAAAAATGTACACTTTTGATGCTAGAAGTTAAAAGCTTAACTCAAGGGTAACTCAAGGGTAACAAATAAGTTTCTTCTTTCAGAGACTTCTCATCATTCTACTTCTTAGAATTAGATGTCTGCTCTACTTCTCCCACACAATTCTGTCCTCATGTAATAGTGACATATTCTTACTTTCTTCTGACCAGTCAAAAGACCGCCCCTCCTTTCAGCGCTCTGCCAACCACATACCAAAATATATATATATGAACAGAAATTAAATTTTTTTTCTGTGACCATAAAGATCTAAGTGTTAACATTTTTCCTTTGGGATTGAATTATTACCCAGCAGTGGTTCCCAGACTTGGCTGCAGATTGGAATCATCTGGAATTTATTTATTTATTTATTTGACAGGAGAGAGGTAGCAAGAGCAGGAACACAAGCAGGGGCAGTGGGAGAGGGAGAAGCAGGCTTCCCGGTGAGCAGGGAGCCCGACGCGGGGCTCAATCCCAGGACCCTGGGATCATGACCTGAGCTGAAGGCAGATGCTTAATGACTGAGCCACCCAGGCACCCCTGGAATCATCTGGGATGTTGACAAGATATTGTATAGCAAAGAATTTAGCCTTGTCTGGAGGTATGGTGGGGCTTTGCTCTCAGCTTCTGGGAGGTTCTTTCTGGATCCTTGGAATATTATGGCTGCTGGAAGTATCTTGGTTTGCCTGGGGACCTTGGGTCATACCGGATAGCCTACCAATGGGATTACGGTGGGGGGTGGCCGCATCCACACAGATAGTCTCACCGTGGGGGCTAGCCACTCCAGGAAGACCCAACAATGTGGCTTAGGATATGTCAGGTGCTATCAGTTGACCAGCAGTCCGAGATTAACCACGGGATGAAGCCCCAATAGAAATTCTGGGCAATGAAGCTCATGTGCACTTCCCCGGTCGGCAATATTCCATGCATATTGTCACATGGCTGCCAGGGCAGGATTGCATCCTGACTCCATGGCAAGAGAGCAACAGAAGCTCTGTGTTTGGTACTTCTGTGTTTCGATGCTGCCCTAGCTCTTCTTCCCTTGGCTCATTTTTGACCTGTTATGTTTTCCTTGTAATAAACTGTAATCATGTAATCATTCAGTGAGTTCTATGAGTCTTCCCAGTGAATTATGGAAGGTGAGGGTGGTTTTGCGAATCCCCCAAACTTACAGCTGGTGTCGATGTGAGGTTGGTCTCGGGGACTGTGCCCACTAACTTTGCAGTCAGCTCTAAACTTCTCAGGTACTGAGACCCAGCTCTCACCCACAAGCACTCTGATTTAACTGGGATGGGGTGTGACCTGGGCATTGGGAGTTTTCAGTGTTCCTGCGTAATGGACAGCAGAATTTGGGAACCACTAATTGTTATGATCAAAGGGCACACCGCTGACCAAAACAACACAAATATGTTACAACAGTTTGATAACTAATGACTAAATTACAAACAGTTTTATTGTAAAACACATCTCCTAATGACATGGATTTGCAGAGTGGGGGTAAGTTAGGGTGTCTTTAGTTAAAAGTGAATTTGGGAGTGCCTGGGTGGCTCAGTTGGTTAAGTGTCCGACTCTTGATTTTGGCCAGGACATGATCTCAGGGTTGTGGGATTGAGCCCCATGTCTGGCTCTGTGCTCAGCTGGGAGTCTACTTGGGGGTCTCTCTCTCCCTCTCCATCTGTCTCTCCTCCCTCCCCCTGCCTCTCTCAAATAAATAAATAAATCTTAAAAAAAAAAAAAAGTGAACTTGGCGGCACCTGACTGGCTCAGTCAGTAGAGCATGCAACTCTTAATCTCAGGGTCATGAGTTCAAGCCCCACGTTGGGCATGGAGCCTACTTAAAAACAAAACAAAAAACCGAAGTAAAAGTGAATTTGGTAAGGCTGAAATTTCAAGCAGTCACTTTGCCTAACTCTCTGGTAGTCTTTACATCTGGGGGGCCGCACACCATAGTGAGGGGCTTGCTTTTTCTGTAAGACTTGAGGACTCTGAGAAAGGGATTGGACAAGGACAAACCATATGATGTTACCACCAGAGATATGATGTGTAGCTGGTAATTTTAGAACCAGGGAACACAGCTGTAGAGGATCTGGAATTGCCTCCTTTGAAATGATCTGGGTCATTGGAAAGTCTTCGTGTACACATACCCTAGTTTCAAGACCATCACTACAGAGCATAAGCTCTACAGAGGAGTCTGAGCCTAATTTCAGGTCTCCCCAATCCCTAGCTATGCCACCAGAGCAAATCTCCTCCCCTTTCTGAACCTCTCGATTGCTCCCAAAGCTCTGAAAAATCTGAGGTCTTGAAATATACATTCTCAGAGGATCAAGGCTCAGAAAAACAAAAACAAAAAACAAAACCCCCCAAAACACAACTAAAACACTTCACCCTTATAAAGCACTGGCTATGTGCTTGACATGTGACCCTATCTTGTCAAGATGGGGATGCCGAGGCACACTGGGACTTGCCCAAAGCCATAAAGATGCAGAGCCAGGGACCTGGAAAAGTCTGGCTCCAGAATGTCAACTTAGGCAACTATCCTACACTGCGACCTCCTAAGGCAAGGAGCATGTCATTCACAGACAAGACTGAGCTGGGCCAAGTCCTCCTGTAACTGGATCCAATCTGGCATCTTGCAATCCGACTCCATTTGGGGGTGAAGAGAGGAGCTCAATGGTTAAGTCATTCACCTCCCTGAGCTGCATCTCTTTATCTGTAAGGGATTGTTAGAGGTGGCCTCAGTGAAGTCACCCACGCAATGGTCATGGCGCCTGTGGTCAGTGCTGAGCAAAGGGCTGTTTTTGTCACCATACTCACCAGTCAGAGACACAAATCTCAATCTTGCCACTATCTAGTAGCTCTGGCCACAAACCCTCCTCCTCCAGGTCCAACACCTGCTTTTTGCGACACCAGCTAGGAAAGAGGGAGAAAAGTCAATGAGAACGGGCAGGTCTTCCTCACAACGGGCCCGGCCCTTGCGGGGTAGGGACATTCACCTGAAGGAAGACACGAAGCAGGTCTGCGAGGGGGCCCCGGGCACCGTTGACCTGTTTGCCTCCACCACCCAGCCGTCCCCACCGTGCTGCACCATCCACTTCCGGAGGCCCTCTGTTAAATACAAGAGGCTTGCGCCCAAGTTCCTCGCCCGCCCACCCGCCGGCCGCCGCCTCCCGCCGCCTCCGATGGAGCCCCGCCCCGGCCCCGCCCCCAGGGCGGCCCCCCGCCGCCCCGCCCCGCCCCGCCCTCCGGCCCGGTGCTTCCCCACCCTGGCCGCAGGGGTTGCGGATGAGGTTGCGTCCGATCGGGCGGCGCTCGCAGAAGCGGCCCAGGAGGCTGGGCCTGCCGTCGCGGGCCGGGGGCAGGCAGCTGCGGGCGAGCGGCAGCAGGACGCCGTGGTCCCGGGCCAGGATGAGCAGCCACAGGGCCTGGCAGTCCACCAGGGCGCGCCAGCCCCGGCACACCCGGCGGCAGCACCCCAGCAGGGTGCGCGGGGGCACGTGGCTCAGCACCACCAGGAGCAGCTCCGGTGGCAGTTGGCTCAGGTCCAGCGCCTCCTCGGGCTCGGGCTCCGGCGGGGGGACCCGGGCGGGCCGGCCCCGGGAGGCCGAGGCGCCCATGGTCCCCGCCGACCTCCCGCCAGCCCGCGCCAGGTTCGGTGGTGACTGCGGGAGAGTAGGGTCAAGGAGTCAGGGGCCCGCAGCCCCCGCGGCGCGCGCAGCTGCCGCCGGCCCCGCCCCGGCCCCGGGTCCCAAGCCCCCGCCTCCCGACCCGATCCAGTCCGCCCCGCGCGCCCCGCGCGCCCCGCGCACCCCGCGCACCCGGCCCTGCGCGCGGCGCCGGGGCCGGCCCGCCCCCCGAGTCCTACCTTGGATCACAGCCAGGGCCCCTCGCCGGCGGGCTCGCTCCTGTCCCCTTGCGTCCCCTTCCCAGCGTCCATCCTTTTACTCGCCAGCCCCTCCCTTTCTAACAGCCAGCATTTCCCAGCCCCCAGCCCAGCCTCCCTCTGGCCGGCCGGTCTCTGCGCTCCCTTCCCTCTGGCGGCCCGGCGGCCCCACCCCGGCCCCCAGCCAGCCCCTTCCCGCACCATCCGTACGCGCCAGACCCCCTCCTTCCCGGGTATTCCCCCGGTGGCGGGTGTGGGGAGGACGGTGGAACCGGACCTGACGCCGCAGACGAGGGAGGGGCGGGGCCGCCGGGATCCGGGGTCTGTCCGCACCCGCCCGCCTCTTGGAGTGCGGGTAACTCCGCCGCAGGACGCCTGGAGAGGAGCAAATGCGGTTATTTCGGTCCGGCATCCGGGCGGGAGGCCTCACACCCGTTCGCTCCTTTAAAAATCCCCATCGCCTTTATGGTGGGGCAACGTTATCCCCATTTCACGGGAGAAAACAGGTGGGGTAGGCGCCAAAGGCGTATCTATTTGACTCCAAAAATGAGTGCTCTGACCAGAAATAACACCGGCCACCGTTTACAGAGCGTCTTCCTACCAGTCAGGGTGGCGACCCCCTGAGGTGGGTACCGCTATGTGCCCCCTTCACAGGTGAGAAAACCGAGGCCGGCAGAGGCCAAGTGACTTGCGCAGGGTCACCAAGCTAGTAGATGACAGAGCTTCGATTTGAACCCAGCCAGGCTGGCTCTAGAATCCCTGCTTTTATTTATTTTTTAAAGATTTTATTTATTTATTTGAGAGAGAGAGAGAGAGCATGAGAAGGGAGAGGGTCAGAGGGAGAAGCAGACTCCCTGCTGAGCGGGGAGCCCGATGCGGGACTCGATCCCGGGACTCCAGGATCATGACCTGAGCCGAAGGCAGTGGCTTAACCAACTGAGCCACCCAGGCGCCCTAGAATCCCTGCTTTTAACCTCTATACTAACTCTACCCAGTCAAAACAAAATGTAAGCCACACATGTAGTTATAAGTATCAGCAAATAAAACCAGACATGGATCCTTGTCCATGTGGAACTTAGATGATGAACAGAAGACATAATAAGCAAATTATAGAGTGTTGGGCAAGTAATTAAAAATAAAAATCTCCTGCCAACCTTGGAAAACCTCTGCGTAAACAGGACAGAATGAAGCCGTTTTATTATTAAAGCATTAAACCAGACGACAATGCACATGGGCCGTGATGAACAAGAGACATGACATGTAAATTACATAGTGCGTTAGAAGCTAATTAATGCTATGGAGGAATAGACTAGGAAGGGGAATAGGGCACAAGCAGTCTGGGTGGGAGACCTTAATTCTGAAAGATAGATTGACTATTACCCTGGCCTATTTCTTTTCAACACATATGTTTTCAATGAACTTTTGACGTTTTCAAACCTGTCCAAAAGTGGAACAGTGTAAGGAGCACCCAGGTCCACGATTACCTCCTGGCCAGTCGGGTTTCATCCCCGCTCCCACCCACTTGCTCCCCGCTGAAAATCTGAAGCAAATCTTAGACATTACACCCTTCTGTCCATAACGAAAATTATTTTTTTCACGTAACAGGTCAGCTGTGGAAATCTTTTTGATAATGAGGTTATGAAAATTGGTTATGACCCAAGTATATGAGTTCAAAAAAGTTTTTTTTTTTTTTTTTTAAGGTTAGAAAAAAGTTTAAGGGGCACCTGGGTGGCTCAGTCGGTTAAGGGTCTGCCTTCGGCTCAGGTCATGATCTCAGGGTCCTGGGATCGAGACCTGCATGGGGCTCCCTGCTCAGCGGGAAGCCTGCTTCTCCCTCTCCCACTTCCCCTGCTTGTGTTCCCTCTCTCGCTGTGTCTCCGTCTGTCAAATAAATAAATAAAATCTTTAAAAAAAAAAGTTTAAGAACTGAAAGTAGGATAAGAAGGCAACACTGACAAGTCAGATTCTTTCCCATTTCTTAATTCTTCTCAGAGGCAATCTCTGTGAACTCCTGGAATGAGGGCCCAAGCTGTACTCTGATAAAAAGAAAAACAAATGGGGCGCCTGGCTGGCTCAGTCGGTGGAGCATGTGACTCTTGATCTCAGGGTTGTGAGATTGAGCCCCACGTTGGGTGTAGAGCTTACTTAAAAATAAAATCTTAGGGGCACCTGGGTGGCTCAGTCGTTAACTGTCTGCCTCAGGCTCGGGTCATGATCCCAGGGTCCCATGATCGTGATCGTGATTGTGATGATGATCGAGCCCCCAAGGGGAGTCTGCCTCTCTCTCTGCCCCTCCCTCCTGCTCAGCTCTTCCTGGCTATCTCTCTTTCTCAAATAAATAAATAAAATCTTCAAAACAAACAAATATAAATGGGGTCAAGAAGTGCCTACCACCTAGAAGGTGATGAACAGAATAATGGCTCCCAAGAGGGGGGTGGTGTGCCAAGCACCCTAGGGGCCCTTTGGGAAGGTTATGGGGGCATTTTGGTGCCATGGGAATGGGGAGAGGATGTCGCTGGGAAGCCACGCACAAGACAATGCCACTCAGTAGAGAACTGTCCTGGATTCCTTTCTTCTGGTAATTGGTGTCCTGTGCATTCTCGTGTAGGAGGAAGAAAGCCTGTTAATCTGAGCCTAGAACCCAATTCCATTCTGCATGTCAATGTAAAGTGGGTTTACACGGAATTGTCCAGGGCATGCAGCTACTGGGTCAACTGGAAGATTGTGCTTGGCTTGGTGGGGACTTGACTGGTTTATTCTCCAATTCACAAAACCAGAAAATCTCTTCATCTAGGCAGTGCCAGCTGTGGGTTTTATGGAGCTCCAGGGAGCCCACAGGGAGGGAGGAGTATCCTGGGGCTACATCAAACTCCCCGGGGGAGATTTTTTTAAAAAACGTGGATTCTGAATCATCAGGTCTGCCCCGGTAACAAGTTCCCAGGGGATTTTGAAAATTATGTCTCTCCTTTTATCTCACCTTTATGTTATAGTTAGGGTTATTTTATGAACATTTTAAGAATTATCTGTGGAAGTAGGTTTAATTATCTGAGTATTTCATTTCAAAAGAGTAAAGGCAGCTTGAGAAATTATTTGCTATAAATCAGGGAGGTGGCTCTGGTGGGGATGGGGTGAGAAGGGCTCCCCTGTGGGTGGGGGGGTACTGGTGCTTCTCTCCACTGGAGGTGTGTTTGGGAGGTTGGGTGGGGGGATACCTGCCTGGCCATTTTGCAGAAGTAGAAACTCTGGAACACTGAGGTGTTGGGAGGTAGGCTGCGTGATTAATTCCAAGGGCATTAAAGGGTCACCAGCTTGGTTTCCATGCCCCTACCTCTCCTGTCCAGAGGCCGCTGGCTGTATTTTGATCCCAGGAAAAGAAACTTGACAGCGAATAGCCCCTTTGTATGGAGCGAATAGCCCCTTTGTATGGAGCGAATAGCCCCTTTGTATGGAGCGAAGGTCGGAGGGAGCAGTTAACTAGTTAAACCTTGCTCTCAGAAGAGTGGGGATGTATCTGGACAGAGGCCTACTCCCGGAGGCAGTTGGGGATAATCCAGCCCTTTCTTAAGATGTGATTCAGCCCTCCCTGGAATGCCCATTTTTCCTAGGGCAGGGGAGAAGCTGGGGTGTCAGTGTAAAACCCTCCAGGCTCTTCCCCCAACCCAGCTTCTGGGGGGGTCAACAATGCACCCAGTTATAAACAAAAGAGCCATAGAACCCACAGACCTTTGCCCACAAGAAGTAATTCCTCCAACTGAAGCCACAGATATAATCTGTGCACGCGTGCGTGCGTGCGTGTGTGTGTGTTGGGGGGGGGACCTGAAGGGAGAGCAGTGGGTTCGGAGGGTCTAAAGGGAGTGGGGAGGGTGAGGGCCAGGAGGGGCTGCCTCCACCCAGAAGAATTCACCCTCCACCCTGTCTGCAGCCCGCGGGACTGTCTAGCCAGAATATCCAAAATGACAGATCAAATGAACATTCAAGTATGACAATGGTATTGTGGTTTTGCTAAAAAAGGGAGAGAGGGAGAGAGAACCTTATCTTTTAGAGATACACCCTGCAAGTATTTTTGGAGGAAATGCTAAGGATGTCTGGGATTGCTTTAAAATAATCCAGCGGGGTCACCTGGCTGTCTCAGTTGGTAGAGCATGCAACTCTTGATCTCGGGGTTGTGAATTTGAGCCCCATATTGGGTGTAGAGATTACTGAAGAAAAGAAATCTTAAAAAAAAAAAAAAAAAGAAATAAGATAATCCAGTGGGGCAGGGAGGCTGGTGGAAGTGTAGATTTAAAAAAAGATTGACCACAAATTGCACTAACCTCAATCATCAGGGAAAAACAAATTAAAACCAGGAACACCCACTAGAATGATGAAAACACAAAAAACTCAAGACAGAAAACCAGTGTGGGAATGGGAAGCAATTGACTGGAACCTGTCCACGGCCTGTGGAGAGAGGGGCTACCATGTTGGAAAATGGTTTGACAGAACCTACTAGAATTGAACATGTACCAGTCACAGAAAGACAAAAATTGTAGGATTCCCCTCTTATGAGGTACCTAGTGCCTAGTAGAATGGTGGGCGCCAGGGGACAGGGACCTGGGGCGGAATGGGGAGTTATTTATTTATTTTTTTTAAAGATTTTATTTTTTTGACAGAGAGAGACATAGCGAGAGCAGGAACACAAGCAGGGGGAGTGGGAGAGGGAGAAGCAGGCTTCCCGCAGAGCAGGGAGCCCGATGTGGGACTCGATCCCAGGACCACCCTGGGTTCATGACCTGAGCCAAAGGCAGATGCTTAACGACTGAGCCACCCAGGCGCCCAGAATGGGGAGTTATCAATGAGTACAGAGTTTCAGCCTTACAAGAGGGAAAGAGTTCTGGAAGCTGGTTGCGCAACAATGTAATTGCACTTGACATCTGTGCATACTGAAAACTGGTGAGTTTTTAAGATGGTAAATTTCAGGGGGGCCTGGGTGGCTCAGTTGGTTAAGCAGCTGCCTTCAGCTCAGGTTATGATCCTGGAGTCCCGGGATCGAGTCCTGCATCGGGCTCCCTGCTCAGCAGGGCGTCTGCTTCTCCCTCTGACCCTCCTCCCTCTCATTCTCTCTCTCTCAAATAAATAAATAAAATCTTTAAAAAAAAAAAAAAGAAGACAATTTATGAGACAATTTGAATAATAT